TTCCTTCCTTCCTTCCTTCCTTCCTTCCTTCCTTCCTTCCTTCCTTCTTTCTTTCTTTCTTTCTTTCTTTCTTTCTTTTCTTTCTCTCTTCTCCTCCTCCTCCTAATTTTCGATTACTCAGATTCTTTGAAGTGCAATCTCCTGTGTGGTTCTTAGTCAATGAGTCAACGAACTGCTGTAAAGCATAGGTCTGACATTTGGGCCCTGGATTTTCTAGTATTGGAGGAAATCCCCTAGACGTTAAGATGAGTAGAAGCTGTAATGGCAAATTCATTTGGAAAATCCTATAATTTAATCATGTAAATTCAAAGAGAACACTAACATGACTTGAGTGTAAAGCGAAGTAGATGCTTCTGCGCTGATAAATGGTGAAGTAAGTATGTTCAGATTAAAAGGAGTTCAGGTGGAGAGAAGGCGCCGCCCTCTAGTGCTGGAATTGCTGACCACAGTTTCATTCCTCTGATTGCAGACTCTCAGAGGAAGTGTGCCCAATAAACTCAATCCCCGGCCTGGGAAGGTAAGGTTCCTTTCATTTCTGGTCCAGTTTCTTTCTTGGGCTGGTGAAGGGAGACAAAATGCTGACACTTCCACTTTCTTGCAGGTAGTGATATTCAGTGAGCCTGACGTCTCTGAGGAGTGCATCGAGGTGTTTGGAGACATTCAGGACTGCAGCTCTTGGCGCCTCTCTCCAGTGATACTTGTGAAAGTTGTCCGAGGATGGTAAGTGTGTCCTGCAGGCTCAGCTCACAGGGGGTTAGAGAGCACTGCAGGCTGAGCTTACCACAGGTGTATGGCTTTCTCCATTACTGTTTAAACCTCACTGCTTCTTTATGAGTATACCTTTATCAGCATAAATGACTTAAAACAGTCGATGGTAAGATAAGAAAAACATTTAGCGTACATGGTTTTGATTGTAAAAGTAATACGTGCTTATGACAGACAAATCAGAAAAGTACAGTAGAACAAGCTTACTTTTCCCATAAATCTCCACACAATATTGCTTTGGATACAACTAGGGCCCAGAATGTGGTTCTGACTCCTGAGTAGCTAACGAGGTGGTAAGAACTGCATTTGGAAGCTGGAGCCATGGCTTAGCATCTAAGAGTACTTTCAGCTCTTCTAGAGGACCTGGGTTTGGTTTCCACCATCCACTTGGTGGCTCAACTGAAACTCCAGTTTCATGGGAGCCAACTTCTTTCTCTGGCCTCTGCAGGAACTGCCTCAGACATACATGTACCCAGACATACATGCAGGCCAAACACAGCACAAAGACCCAAATACGTGAAAAAAAAAGTGAAACTTTAAAAGAAAATTACATTTGTTCTACTTACAGGTCAGATGTGACTTGTTGCAAACTTACAGGCAAACCTGGATGTGGTACCTTATGTCTCTAACCCCAGCACTCAGCAGGCTAAGAGACAGTTGCTGTGAGTTCCAGGCCAGCCCGGTCTTACATAGCAAGACCCAATCTCAAACACATCCATGCCCACAAAGCTGGCAAGCCAGCTCAGTGGGTGGAGGCGCTTGCCTCCAAGCCTGGGGAGCTGAGTTCCGTTTCTTGGATACACATGCTGCTGGGAGAGAACTGACTCCCAAAAGTTGCCCTCTGCCCTCCACTTGAATGTCATGGCTCATGTGTACAGACACACACACAAACGAATACATTCACAAAATGGAGGCAAGATCTCACTCTGTGGAGCAGACTGGCCTTAAACTCACAGAGATCCATCTCCCTGTCTTTGCCTCCCAACGCTGGGATTGAAGGTGTGTACTGCCACACCTAGGCAATAATCAAAAAATAAATAAATAAGCCAAACAAACTCATAGGGAAAGATAAACAAAGTTCTGACAGTTTAGGAAGGAAGTAACCTAAAATTTAGTTTACTTTCTAATTTTTAACAAAAGGTAGTTTTGATTAAGGGATTGATGAAGATTTAGTGCTTTGACAACTTCTAAATTATTTTTCCTGGTTGAGTTATCTCTCAGAGGTGCACAGGAAACTGAGTAAAGAAAAACAACTGCAAACAAAATCAGAGTATCATGTTTACCGTCCCTGTGTCCTTACACACTTGGCTGAGGTCAGGAGGGCACTAAACATTTATGAATCATTTGGGGTTTGACCTCACACATGCAACAGGAGGCCAGCACTGGACCGCTGAGCTGTCTCCCCAGCTGCCTTTTTACCTTTTCAAACATCATCTTGCCATGTTACCACCTGTGCTTGGACTCACCATGGAGCCCCAGGTGGCCCTACCTGTGACCCTTCTGCCCAAGCCTCTGGAGTAGCTGGACAGACAGATTCAGCCAGGACCTAAAAAGTCCTGGTGTTTCTTTTCATCTCCGTCGGACTATTTATGCAATGTCTTTTCTAACAGGGCTTTTAATATTTTAATATATTTTTCTAGATAGTGATCATACTCATTAGAAAAAGAAAATGTACTTTCATTATCAAATTAGACTGAAACTCCTGCTAAGAACAAGCTTTGCAAGGCAATTTTGTTTGTAGTGAGACTGTTAACTCCTTTGCAACCTTTTGTTTTGTTTTAATAGTTTATTTTTTAATTAATTGTAGGGGGGGTGTTTGTGAGGGTGTGTGCATTTGAGTACAGGTGCCCATGGAGGCCAGAGGCATCGGATCCCCTGGAACTGGGGGTAACGGGTGGTTGTGAGCCACCCAAAGTTTGTGCTAGGAATCAAACTCTTGTCCTTTGCAAGAGCAGAACCCACTCGGAACCACTGAACCTTCTCTTTAGTTGACCTTGTAGCAACTCTTATTGGCTCCTTGAAGGTGTAAGGCGTCCCATTCACTGTGATGTTTTCCTTAGTGCTGTGTGGTTGCTGGGGAGAATCTTTCAAAAGTACTCATTGTTGGCATACATATGGTTTTTTTGTATCAACGTATTCATTGATTCAGTTGTGATACAGCATAATACCTCTAAGAGAAATGGGTGGTAACATACATGTAAGGGAAAGTTCACCCAGAGAGCCCCTATGATCACCTGTCAGTTCCATGAACTCTATCACAGTGATAACTCAGACATTCTCCAAAATGCCTGCATAGGTTTTGATTTATCAAAGGCCTAATAAGACCCACTGAGGTTGATCTCAGGGACAAGCTTATGCTATTTTTGGTTACTTATGTACAATATGTGTTAACCAGAATTAAGCAATCATACCTGCCCCACTGTGACAGATAATGGCTCTTCTGTGTTTTCTTTCAGTTGGATTTTGTATGAGAAAGCCAATTTTGAAGGGCACTCCCTCGCTCTAGAAGAAGGTGAACTGGAACTCTCTGGTCTCTGGGGCATGGAGGATATTTCAGATGAAGAAGCAGAGTCTGACAAACCTGTAATCATTGGTTCCATCAGGCACGTGGTCCAGGTAGGTTATGGGAAATGTGAACTTCATTCAGCACTTGGAGATGAATGAATAATTTTACTTTAAAGGAATCTTCATTTTATGACATAAATGGGAAGATATTTAACCATACTCTGGCTATGTGTTCTACAATGTAAATATTTGTATACCATAAATTAACTAGAAAAGAAACCTTCTAGTCATTAGATATTTTTCATGATAAATCAATTTACAGAGGTGGGTAGAATTTCCTGCTTATTTTTTTAAGGATAAATGTATTGTCAGCATCTCTCTTTGTAAATATGTAACTTCTGGTGTCTTACACATGAAAGATTAAACAATAACTTTATACAATAGAGGGAAATGCTATAGATTACAGTAGAGAAGAGTGGAAGGTTCTAAAATGGGAATGAAAAAGAATGAAAGACAATTTTGGGCAGGGAGAGTGGTACCTGTTTCCTAGGTCAGTGTTTCTTTTTGTTGTTTGTTTGTTTTTGGTTTTTTGTTTTTTCTTTAAGACAGTCAGTGTAGCTCAGACTAGCCTTGACCTCTTGATCTTCCTGCTGCTACTACACAGGCTGGGATCACAGGTGTGTGCCGCCACACCCCAGGTCAACATTTCTGAGAGACTTAGATGATGCTCTTAGCTTTTAGTGGATCTTGTCATGATGTGGCTCTGTAGCTCCAGCTGTGCCTGAAGCTGCAGCCATCCTCATTGTCTCTGTGTGCCCCCGGCCCCCAGAATCACAGACACACACCACCACAGCCTGCTTAGTTTTTAGTTTTAAGTAGAGTACATAGTGTGATGAGCCATCTAAGATATGAGGAACACTATTTTGTTATTTTACGTGTTTACTCATACTCCATATACTGTATCCTACATACATGCTTTGTCCCCAGGGGGCTGTGAGCCTCCATGTGAGTGCTGGGAATTGAACCCCAGTTCTTTGTAACAACTGCAAGTGCTCTTACCCCCTGAGCCAACTCCTCAGCAACAAAGAACACTATTTTAACATGTTCTCTCAGTGGAATACTTTACACATATATTTTACATTTACATATACGTATCACACACACTGCATTTTTATTTATTGCTTAAATAATGTACATAAAAAAGCAGTGTTCAAAGCTAAAGTTGACCGAACTGAAGTGTGTCTGTCCCTTCACGCATTTAAGTTCTCCGCCTTCCCTTGGTCATATTCAGATCTGCTTTTTATATAGTTCTAATGTATTGCGAATACAGCGCACTTATTCCTTTTCTACCCAAAGCTATGATTCTCGGTCCTCTTTTCCTGTCCTCATGATCGCTCTCCGGGATCACGCTCCTGTGAGTGATTGCTTACAGTGATTACAGATGGTGCTGTTGGCTGGGGCAAGGCTTCAGGTGTGTGCAGGAAGGTGAATCGGGTGGAGCTCAGGGATGAAGCTCCTGTTTGCTAATGCAGCCAGAGCTGCCCACGCTACTGCTCGGTCTGAGGCTCAGCCGAGCACTGTTCTTCATGGAAAGGCTGTGCTGCTCTTCCTGTAGTTCATAAGTGATTTACCAACAAGTGTTTGCTATTCGCAGTTACAGTGGATCGTAAGTTTGCTTCTCGCCTTTTTCCTGTCAGTATTTTGAGATTGTATTTTGAATTGTGTATGTGTATAGGGGTCGATGTGCACAGGGGTGTGTCTGCCTGTGGAACCCGGAAGAGGGTGTCAGACCCTCTGGTTGCAGTTGCGGGTGGTTTCCAGAAGCCTGCTGTAGGTGCTGGGAACCGAACCTGGTCCTCTGCAGGAGCCGCAAGCCCTCCCAACCACTGAGCTCTCTCTCCAGCCCCTCTTTACCTTCTAAATATTCTGTGAGGAACAACTGTTTATAACTCCAGTTCCGGGTGATCTGGCGCCCTCTTCTGGCCTCTGCCAGTACAATGCATGCATGTGGCACACATATTTATTCACATTAACATACATCCATACATCACACAAACATTAATTTTTTTTTTTTTAAATAACATTTTCGGTCAGTTGTAAGACAGAGCACAATGAGCTAACTACAAGTTAGCTATGTTTATGGAATATACATCTATGCGTTGTTTTTTTTTTTTTCAGGATTATAGAATTAGTCAAATTGACTTGTTTACTGAGCCGGAAGGGCTAGGACTCCAGACGTCCTACTTCGATGATACTGAGGAAATGCAAGGCTTCGGCGTGATGCAGAAGACGTGTTCCATCAAAGTGCACTGGGGCACGTAAGTCTTCTGGTTCAAGTGCGGGTTTGACGATGCTTCATCAGGAATGCTAGAGAGGGCAGAGGTGTTCAGTATGGGGATCCAAAGTCGGGTCCCACGTGTCTACTTTATCCACTATGCTTTAGCTGCTGCACCCTCACCCGCCAGACCCTGTCTCCCGTTCTCTGCGCTGGGGTTAGTCTTAGGCATGTTAGCCAAGGACTTCACTGAGCTTTATCCCAACCATGGAAAACATACTTTTCACATAGGACTTTTCCCCTATACCAGAGAAACCTAGCCATGCAAAGCTGAGTAGTAGGTTATATGTTCACAATAATTCCAAGGATATAATTCAGTATTTTGAGTGAGATGGGTTCGAGCCAAACATACTTCCTTCGCCATTGTTACACAATAGTGTTGTGTTGGCTATACAAGCCCCAGGAAACTGTAAGTACAGTTTGTACCTCCCGTGTTGAATTTCAATATGGCATTTTGAAAGGAGCATCCAGACCTCACAAGGAGAGCATGGTGGTGCCTTGTCAACAAGCAAAGGCCGCTTACTAGGGCGGAATTCAGGATAACTGGCTGCTTTATAGAAACAGACTGTCAAGAAGGGAGCACGCAACAGAGGAGAGCAGTTGGGAGGCAATTCCAGTCATACACGCAAGAGATGCCGGTGGCTTAGATGTAGTGGCAGAAAATGGCGAAACTTAAGATATATATTTTTTCTTTTTTTTTTTTAAATTTATTTTTAGTATTAGTTCCCACTCCCTCATTCCCTCCCAATCCCACCCTCCCTCTCTCATCTTCTCCCTGCCCCTTTCCAAGTCCACTGATTGGGGAGGACCTCCTCCCCTTCCATCTGACCCTAGCTTATCAGGTGTCTTCATGACTGGCTGCAAAGTCCTCCTCTGTGGCCTAGCAGGGCTGCTCCTCCCTTGGGGGGTGAGGAGTTCAAAGAGCCCTCCATTGAGTTCATGTCAGAGTCAGTCCCTGTTCCCTTTACTAGGGAAACCTACTTGGTTACTGAGCTACCATCGGCTACATCCAAGCAGAGGTTTAGGTTATATCCATACATGGTCCTTGGTTGGAGAAACAGTGTCATATAAGACCCCTGTGCCCAGATATATTTGGTCCTTGTGGAGCTCCTGTCCTCTCCAGGTCATACTAACGCCCCCTTCTTTCATATGATTCCCTGCACTCTGCTGAAGGTTTGGTTATGAGTCTCAGTATCTGTTTTGACACACTGCTAGGTAGAGACTTTCAGAGGCCCTCTGTTAAGATACATCTTAAAGGCAGAACAAGCAGCATTTGCCGGTAGATTTTATTTAGATGCAGGGGTTGAGAAGGCTTGGGACCCTGGTCCATTCTGGAATAGAGGCCTGCAGGAACAGTGTGGGAGGAAGAGGGGAGTTCAGAAGGGTTTTTTTTTTGGGGGGGGCAGGTTAAACCTGAGATCCTCTGGGTTCACATGGGAGGGAGGGGGTAAATGGAAGTGTGAGCCTGGATTGCAGGGAAAGGTTACAGGGGGAACCTGAGAGTCCTCCCCTTAGAGGAGGGGTGGAAAGGGCTGTGGGTGTAACTCAGAGTTTGAGTGCTGGCCCAGTATGCAGAAGGCCTGGTGGTCAGTTCCCAGGAAGGAGAAGGGAGTCCCTGCGCAGAGCAGAGAAAAGCAAGTTTTAAAAGGGGAAATGACCATTGCGAAGACTTTAAATTAGGTACCACATGAGACCCCAAAGATTTTAGCCTGGGAAAGAGATGATATGCGCGTTAGGCACTTTTTAGAGATTGTGAGAAAATGCAGAGTCTGGTACAAGAAAATGTCTTTATGACCACTGCCTTTAGATGTCTTCTCTGGCTATTCACTTCCATGCCAGTGGCCTCACAGAAGCTGCCTCCAATGTCTGTTCAGGACATTAACAGTGCTTTTACAGCTCTTCCAGGAAGCCTGGGAGAGTGGAGAGAGAGGACTGTTTGTCACCTGGCTTACTCTCTCCATCCATCCTTTTCTCCCTGTGTGGGATTACAGATGTGAGCCGCTGCTCCTGGCTAAGTTGGAAGGACTTAACTGGTAAAAAGCACTCAGCTCACTTTGCCGCTGTTGGTGTAAAAGTGCTCCGAGTCTGCAGGCAGAGAAGTCCTGGAGGGGGGTGGGGCCTTTCGTAGATCCCATCGGAAACGTGTTCCTGGGCCTGATCACTCTAGATTAAGTTCCTGGGCACACATGTAAGAGTGTTTCTGGCCTTCTCAGGTTCTTTCTTGAGGAAGTGAGTAATTCTTACCTAAATTTGCCTTTCAAATTCTGTTGACTGTGAATGAGTCCTAAACCTTTGCTTTAGCAGCAGATAATCTTAGCCCCCATCCTCCTTGAGGCAAAGGCAGGCTCACGTAATTCTAGGGTGTACTTTAGTGAAAACAAAGGATTTGGGAACCTCAGAGGAAGCCTCTGATTTAAGCAAGGAAGACAGGCTGGCCACTTTGTCCGCACCAGGGTTGTTAAGCTGAAGAGTTTGATGCTTTGAAATGACGGAACGGCTTTTTCACCAGCCAAATGTGCTTTTATCATTTCTTATTCTGAAATAGTTGATGTCTAAAGGAGAATATATGTCTGTGTGTGAGTTTTGGAGCCTAATAATGACACACCCAACCCAACTCGTAGCCAGAATAATTCAGGAAACACCTTCCTGTCATCTACCAGATCCAGTGATTGCTAACATTTCCCACGTTTGTTATCTTTGTTTGTTTGTTTGACACGGGGTTTCTCAGTGTGGCCCTGGTACTCACTTCATAGACCAGACTGAACTCAGAGATCTGCCTGCCTCTTCCTGCCTAGCACTGGGGTCAGCTTCCTGATTGTTACCTTTTGCTGTCAGTTGACTGTACATTGCAGATAATTAGCTCCTTTGCTCCCACAGACTCGGCCTCAATCTCTCTAAAATGACAGTAACTCTCATTATACCTAAGAAAATTAGCACTATATCCTATGATAATATAATATCCCGGAACCACATCTTCCCAGTTGCCTCCAGAAGGTCTTCCGTAGTTTTCCTTTCGTTCTAAATCAGGATCTAGAGCCAGGCGCAGCGGAACACGCCTGTAGTGTCTACACATGGTGGGCAAAGGCGCATGATAGGGAGTTCCAGGTTAACCTGGGCTCTTTAGTGAGAGACACTGTCTCATCTCCAACCCAGAGTGCCCCAGTGAGACTCCCTCCTTTAATTCCATTTCTTTTGTCTGCCTCCGGAAGTCTGTTTGCTGCTCAGGCCAGACATCTGTGTGACTGTTGTACGGGCACCTGTGTGTGCCAAAGTGCTTGCCTGTTCATGCATGTGCTTGTAGTTGTCAGCTAGACGGACTGGTTGGTGAGGCCCGGCAATCCGCCTGCCTCTTTCCCCAAGAGCTGGATTATAAAGCACACAGCTATGCCAGGCTTTTTTGTTTTTGTTTTGTGTGCTTGTTTGTTTGTTTTGGATTTGTTTGGGATCGGGGCTTGTTTTAATTTTTTTATAGTTTTGAAATTACATAATTACACCATTTCCCTCCTTCTCTTTCCTCCCTCCAACCTCTGTGCTGCCCACCTTCTAAATTCATGGCCTCTTTAATTGTTCCCTCTCACACAAACAATCGCACGCGCACACACACAAGCATGCACACACACACACACACACACACACAAATATATTTCTAAGTATGTAAACACAGCTTTCCTAGCCTGTGTAGTGTTACTTACATGTATGTGTATGCTTTCAGGTTTCACTATTTGGCATTGGATCACTAATTTGGGGCTCTTCCCTGGGGAAGACTTTCACCCACTCTCAGCATCTCTTAGTTGTTTGTGCTTCTATGTCCAGGATGGAGGCCTCATCAGCTTTCCCTTCCACACTGGCATGTCTGTGGTGGTGTTCAGGTCATGTTTAGGCAGCTGTGTGGATGAGACCTCATGGTGTAGCCTCTCTGACATATCCAGGAGATACCATCCCACAGCAAACTTCCTGTTCCTCTGGCTCTAATAATCTTTCTTTCCCTTCGTCTGCAGTGACCCCTGAGCCTTAGGTGCAGCACAAGGCAGGCTTTTAAGAGCAGCTTGGGCCAGCTGTCTTAGAGCATAGGTTTTTCTGAGTTTTTATTTTCTTGTGGTCTCCCTATTATTATCTAAGTGTTGTTTGTACGAAGGGTTAGGTCTGGCGGTGTTATGTGATTTAGCTTGGACAGTGTTGGCAAGCGTGCTTCCTGAGAGGTGGTGGCATGCATTTATGCTCTGTCACCACGTGACTGACCAGCCACCTGTGTACTGATGACCTCAAGTTTGCTTGCCTAGATGTGGGCTCTCTCACAGCTCCCCTCTGTACAGTTACTCAGGAGTTTGGAATAACCTCATATTTAACATTCAGTTGATTTTCATACACACCTTCTAGGAGCCAGCTGGGCGTGCTCAGTTTAGTTTTGCCTGCTAGGTGGTCAGTTTACAGGTTACCTGGTCTAAGAACAAACACACGTGATAAGACTAAAGGACATTTCTAAGGGAATGATAACACATATGTTAACATACAGACTAGTGGCCATTGTTCAGCAGTGTTTATATATGCTTCTTATGATTACATTCATGAACATTCATAATGTATTATCCTTATGCATCCATTCATGCATGCTCATGTTTGTTAAAAAAAAAAAAGTAAACACACACTTCTTGTTTTGTAATGAGCAGAGCTCATTACCTTACTACAGTGGAAAAGGAAAGCAGTTTCTTTAGAAATAGAAATGGCATTCCTGAAGAAAACCCCCTGCTCTCCTGAAGCTCTGTGTATGAGTTTTCAGATCCCCATGTGTGCCTGGCGTACCTGAGTGTCTGTCCCCATTACTGGGAAGGTCTCTAGGCTTGGCCCACTGAGGGATGCCTCTCGGGACACGGTCTTGCGGATTCACCAGTGTGTCTGTTCTGCTCCCCAGCAGAGCTCTCCACCTTCTGCAGATGCTCTGTGACTTACACACTTCAAGAAAAGCGGAAATTTAGTATCAGATGAACAGATACTTACAGCTTAGCCCAAAGAAGGAAAGCCCTCAAAAGGAGGCTGCTTTGAAAACATCATTTTGGGGCCGGGGAGATGGCTCAGCAGTTAAGAGCACAGGCTATTCTTCCAGAAGACCATGGTTCAATCCCTAGCACCCACATGACAGCTTACCCCTGTCTATAACTCCAGTTCCAGGGGATCTGATATCCTCAGACAGACAGACATGCAGGCAAAACACCAATGTACATGAAAGTAAGTACATCTTAACAAAACACATCATTTCAAACTCTCAGGGTCACTTTCATGAGCCACACAGGCTGTTTATGAGAGATCGCAGTTCTCCCCTTGTGAGGGAGTCTGAGTCAGCAGCGTTGACTGCAGAACTTCCATTCCTTGGCCCACACATGAAGCACATGTGTAGCGTGCCTGAGCCAGCTTTGGGCTCCAGGGATGGTTGTGCCTTCCTGTCTGGCATGGTTTAGATATAGGAAGTTAGATACAGGGACCCCTCAGCCTGCTGCCTCCTGGCTTAGAGGAATCGTAGGTCATTTAAAAGACAGGTTTCTTTCTCCTTAGTTACCTAGTTCTGAAGCGTAACATTTGCACAGAAAGGGACTTAAAAAACCTCGACTCCATAACCCAAGTGTATTTTGTGAGCTAGGACTAGAACATCCCATCCAGCACACCAGGAGCCTGGTCATCCAGGCTTCCTTCTAGTTGCTCCCCTCCCCCAGCCCCTCTCGATGGGTAACCGTGGTACTGCCTTAGGACACTGTTGATTGGCTTTGGTCTCCACTTATGGACCATGGGACCTCCTAGCCTTGTGTACCACTGTGTCTGTTGACAGATCTTTAGTAGGAATTGTGTGGCAAATCTCTAGGAAATTAGTTGAAAGAAGGCCCACAGGCATCTTTAACACAAGCTTTCACTAAAAAAATGAGTGTTAGGCCAAAATTGAAAACAAGAGGAACACAACCCCATCCTCAGACCCTGTTTTGCTGTGAAGAGTTTTGTTTTAGAGTTCCCTCTCATTGGCACAACGGTGGGGACCATAGCATGGTTGTTAGAGGGCCACAGCCAGGTGGTTCAGCCAGACTATTATCACCTAGGTGGGGTGGGGATCACGGACAAGGGGCAGGGGGAGGAGCTTGCCTGTGTTTCTGAGGGGAGGTAACTTCTGAATTAGGTAAATCACTTCTCCCCCAGTAGCTGCACCTTCCTGCTCTTAGCTCCAATGGGCATGTTTTTATGGTTCCCTGGCCTTAGCTCAGGAGAGGGTGGGGCTGCCATCCCCTGACCAGAGCAGAAGTGACGGCTCGAGCCCGATGCAAGGAGGTGGTATCACTGCATCTTTATGATCAGAGCCGAGCGCTCAGAGGGCGATGCCACCCGGGCACAGGCAGCCCTTGGACCTGACAGAAGTGTGTGCTGGGCAGTGCACACGGCAAGAATGCTTGGTGACTGAGAAGAGCAGGTTATGTTTGGCACACTCCCTTCAGTGGAAAAAAAAACAAAAAAACTGCTGTGAAAAAAAAGACATGATCAGGGGGTCAGTTTACAGCAGCCCTGCCTTGGAGCAAGTGACTTAACCCCCCCCCCCTCGCCCCCGGGAAACTTCGGACAAGAGCATTCCCTCCTGGAAGCACTGTTGTGAGATCAACTGAATTCTAGGTAGCATTCTGTGGAAGCTTTTAGAAGGGGTCAGTTGCTACAAAATTTTGACGCCATGAGAAATGATTAAGTAGAACACTATAAGTCTTTATTTACAAAAAAAAAAAATTAACTTAAAACAAGGGTTTGGGCGGCCTAACTTGGGGGTCTCTAACTAGGTGACAGAGAAACTGATATAAAAGCAGTTATAATATGGCTTAAAGTAAGTGGCTAAAGCCACCATACAGCTGGGCCCTCGGAGGCCACTTTTCACCCAGACCAAGATACAGCCATCCCTGTGGGACCACACTGTCCTCTGTTCTTGCCCTTCCCCCATCAGTGGGGTCCTGTGTACTGGGGGGCAGGAGGGAACAGAAATAAACCCTGAGTTTCTGCTTCTTTGCTTCCTCGGTGGCTGTTTAGGTGGCTGATCTACGAAGAACCTGGATTTCAAGGTGTCCCCTTCATCCTGGAGCCGGGGGAATACCCTGACCTGTCCTTCTGGGATACCGAAGAAGCGTACATCGGATCCATGCGGCCTCTGAAAATGGTAAAGATGACATTGAAGCTGAGGTTCTGAAGGCAGCAAGTGTGCTACCTTGACCTCCAGACTCTTCCAGAGGGGACTTTGAACAGTAAAGTCAGCTTTTAGTGCTTTGCGTGCAACTGTAACAGGCAGAGGAGTCCTGTTGCTGGGTAGAAACGATAGAAGCAATGACTTACTCAAGTTCACAGCCAAGAAAGATGACAAAACTAGGTATGACCTTTGCGCTGAGGGCGTCTTCTGCCTCACGGAGTAGATGTCTGTGCCAAGCTTCAGCCAAGAGCAGGCCCAGTAAGTGAAGAAGTATTTGTGGAAAAGGGGAGCAATGTTGACTAAAACTCCAGTTGGTGAGAGAGAAGGGTTTGTAGTTACGGAAGCCGAGAGGCGAAGCTGAATCTTAAACAGGAGCGGGATTGTTGTTGCTGGAGCTGGCAGAGAATGCGTGTGGGGCCCAGGGCAGTCGCAGAGATGGGCAGGGCTGAGTGGGACAGAAGGGGGGCTGTGCACAGTGTTCAAATACTCATCACCCTTACGCGGAGCCCGGGCTTCCTTCTCGATGCCATGTTTGCCTTGGTCTCTGGTTGCTCGGCCAGAATGAAGGCTTAGGGATGAGGCTGCCACACTAGCCTCTGGTGGGTGCTTGGTGAAGCTAGGTGCTCACCCAACGCCAGAGGGAAGGCCCTGCTGTGAACTTGTTTGTGAATCTCCACGCTGCAGGTGTCTTCAGAGCCATCCTGAGACAGATTGGAACGTTAGAAGCATTTGATCTGACTATCTGCAGATCTCAGTGCAGAAGACTTGAGGGTTTTCTTTAAAAAAAATCAAATCCGCTTTCAAAGAGCCGAGTTTTATTAGTTTTGGGAATGCATGAAAGAGTTGTCCCAAGCTTAAAAGGCAATTTGATGGTTTTAAAAGTTTACTGAGGCTCTCCAAAAGACTGCTTTTTTAGCCAGCGCTCCCTTGGTTGTATGAGGTCTGGTTCACTGGCTGAGTTAGTCCATTTCTTTATGATTGCAGTTTACTATGGCCATTTGAAGATCGTTGGCTGCAGTTTTTAAGCTCATAAAGACACATCGATGGGACACATCCCAGCTTAACCCACTACTGACTCTTGCCTGCTTAGGAGTTTTAGGCAATACTCTTTTCTCTGATTTTAGGGCTTATTTTTAACTTTATGAACCCTTTTTATTACAAAAGTATAACAATACCCTCCTTTGAGAGGTTTTAAGTATTATCTAATAGTTGGTCTTACTATTTCCTGCTGTGTGAACTTTAACACCTTTGTAGGCTGTTGGTTGCAAAGTCAGATGCCTCCAGGCGGCAGGCAGGAAATAAGAAGGGTGAGGCTGCTGGGAGTGGAGTCAGGGAGCGGTGGAGATCAGCCAAGCCTGTGGCTCGCTGAAGGACAGCCCCTACAGAATTACCAAGCCCACAAGGTGGAATTCGCTTCCTGTGAGACATTGAGTCTAGATGTGTCAAATCTTAGGGCTAGTTAGCAGGAGAACAAGAAATAAGAGTTTTAGGAGGTTGAGGCAGGAGGATCCGAAGTTTGAGGCTAGCCTGGTCTTCATGGTGAGTGAGACTGTCTCCAACAAGAAAAAAACAGCACTGACTCTTGGATTACAAATTAAAATTGTATCAGAAATTTTCCTAGTTAAAAAAAAAAAAAAAAGGCAAAGCAAAATAAATCAAGGGGCTGGGATGTAGCTGAGTGGTGGAGAGTGCTTGCCTAGCTTTGCACAGCAATTCCTCAGTACTCCAAAAAACAAGCAAACAGAACAAGACAAAAACAGAAGAGAAGCACTCACTCAGTGTGCATATGTAGCGTAGGGAGCCATGTGAGTCTCTGCTGTAGATGGTCTTGTGTCTTTATTTCCATTTGATAATGTTGGCATCACCTCATGGAAATTAAAACAAACCAGAAAGACACCACACTGCGCTTCAACTACTGTGACAATGCTAAACACTCTCAGTGGAAACCAGGTGTTTTACTATGCTGTTCATTTCATTTTAGGGTGGCCGCAAAGTTGAATTCCCTACAGATCCCAAGGTAAGAAGGGGAGATAGACATAGATAGATAGATAGATAGATAGATAGATAGATAGATAGATAGATAGATAGATAGGTAGAGAATTGGGAATGAGGGGGTAAGGGGAGAGAGATTATTCTATGATCTCCAAGTATATGACACTAATGGGACTTCCACTCTAAACCTCTCTCCCACTTCACTTCAGCCAGAGGAACTAGCCCAGCTTCACATGATGGAGGAGGCGCCTGTTATCTTAGCATGGCCTCTAAGGTTCACTACTGTAGTTTGCTTTGGTTTGGTTTCTTTCAAGACAGGGTTCCTCTGTGTAGCCTTGGCTGTCCTGAAACTCACTCTGTAGAACAGTCTCGCCTTGAACTCAGAGATCTGCCTGCCTCTGCCTCTGCCTCTGCCTCTGCCTCTGCCTCTGCCTCCGCCTCTGCCTCCCAAGTGCTGGGATTACTGGTATGTGCCACCACTGCCTGGCTTCACTGTTTAGCTTTTTAACTTCTCCCAAATTAGTGTCATCTCTTTTCTGTTGCAGGTGGTTGTTTATGAAAAGCCTTTCTTTGAAGGAAGGTGTATGGAGCTAGAAACAGAAATGTGTAGTTTTATCACGGACGGAGGTGAAACGGAAGAAACAACTGGAGACGACCACCTGCCCTTTACATCGGTGGGGTCTATGAAAGTTCTAAGAGGCGTGTAAGTAGGAGGGGTAGCTGGTAAGGATCTCTCTTTTCCTTGATGAAACAATCAGTGTGCCCTCTTTTCCTCCAAAGACAACATTCCAGACTATAGTATGGTGATGTTTTGTGGGGAGCAGGGAGTCATGAGGATTGAACCCCAGGGTGTCACAAAAGCTGGGCAAGTGTCCAGCTACACCCCAGCAGGGTCTGGTGATTTCAGCAGTGTTCATGCTCTCCTCAGTCCACTACGGACTGGACTTGAGAAGATGGCTGGAGGGATGCTAAGGGGGAGTCTGATGCGAAGCTGATAAAATTGGCCATATAGATTGATTTTTAAAATGTCATGTTCCAGCATAATGAACTATTAAGTAATTTTCTAATTTTTATGATCTTTTTGGATTTTATAGATCTTGCACATTTGTTGTCGGAGTATAAACTGAAGCCTATTTTGTTAATAGGCAAAATTTTGTATTTTATTTCTATTTGAAGAAAGTTTGTCATTTTACTTGCTGAGTTTCATTTTAATTCCTTTTTAAAAAAAATTATTTATTTTTATCCTATGGGTATGAGGGTTTCTCCTGCATGTATGTCTGTGCACCACATCTGTACAGAATCTGAGGAGTCTAAAAGACCCAGGTCCTCAAGAACTGGAGTTAACAGTTTTTGGCTGTGTGTGGGCACTGGGAACTGGTCTGGGTCTGGGTGCTCGGCAAGAGAAACAAGTGCTCTTAACTGCTGAGCCAACTCTCCAACCACCCATTTTTGATCTTATTAAGCATGCACACTCATACACTCAAATGCATACACATTGTACACACACAGCTACACGCCTTTACAGAACGCTAACATGCTTCTTAGTTTTCTCTGAACAAATTCTCTTCAATATTAAGTATATTTAAGTATATTAAATATTAAGTATATTTATATAAATATTAAGTATATTTAAGAGAATACTCTTAAATATTAAATATATGCTGTCCTTTCGAAATTTAGAGAATTTCCCAAATCCACATCTAATTTTATACTTCTGTTTGTCACATTGGAAAGGTTTTAAATGTCTGAAAAGTTGCCGTGTTCTCTCTGCTGCAGGTGGGTTGCGTATGAGGAGTGTGGCTTCACTGGTCACCAGTATTTGCTGGAAGAGGGGGAGTACAGGGACTGGAAGGACTGGGGAGGCTACAGCGCAGACCTGCAGTCTTTACGACCTATATTAAGTGTAAGTGAAAGAGAAGCTAGTGGCTAAGGGGTGGTCTTTTGGGGTGGTAAGTGGCTACCCTTTGACTCAGAATCTTTCTTTTTTTTTAATAGGATTTTTCAAACTCTCACATGATAATGTACAGTGAAAAGAACTTTGGCTCCAAAGGCTCCAGTATTGACGTCTTGGGAATTGTTGCTAACTTAAAGGAGACTGGCTATGGAGTGAAAACACAGTCCATCAATGTGCTGAGTGGCGTGTAAGTGAAGTCATTCAACCAAGGTCTTAAGCTTGGGTTTTACTAGGCTTTCTGTTAGATTAATAGTCTGTGAGACAGTCGGTCCTCAGTGAATATCTGACAGGTAAACATTAACTCACTTGCTTGATAGTTTCAGCTGTTTTTAAGATAATCTGATGCAAGCTTCCCCCCCCCCCCCATTCTGGAGCATGCTTTTGGGTGATGTTGTAGAAAGATGTGGAGCTGCTGCCATTTTTTCTAAATGAGTAGATTGTGAGTTTCTTTAATGTGAGAAACAAATAAAAAGACTGAGTAGCCATTGACCTTACTTAAGGTTGGACAAAATCCTGTTAGGCTTTCCCGTAGTACCATCCTTGCTAGTGTTTCTTCACTACTATTTTGACACAAGACAAATTTTCAGACTACCTAGAGTTTTGTTTTTTAGAGAGTCTGGGTGTGTGCTGCAGCTGACCTGACCTCTGGCTCTGACCCTGGGCTCTGCCTACCCCAGCCTCCTGAGTGCCAGAATTATGGTTCCCTGTGCTTTCGCCATGGCCAATTCAAGCCTTTACTGAGACACACAACTCTGAGATGGAAGTGACTGATTGAACTTACCAGCCTAAGTGATAAAAACAGAACTTACTGGCCATACAAATAAAAAGCCCTGGAGAAGATTTTATCTCAGGCTCGGTGGCACAGGCTTTTACTCTTAGCACTTCCAGGCCAGCCTGGGTTACATAGTCGGATCCTGTCTGAAAACAACAACGACAAGACCGATCAAATGAAAACGTTTTGATGCAGACATGACTGGATATTAGGGATCAAGCAAACACGGTCACCAGACCATCTCTCACCTGAGCTCGCCACTGGGGCTTTCACTTAGGTGGGCCCTTTACACCTGGTGGCCTTCTCCCGAGTCATTGTGTGCTCAGATGCCAGGTCTGACTTTTTGGTGTGGATCATTAGTACGTGCCTGAAGTAGAGAGGTGGCAGCGCTGGTGTGACGTGCCCATCCCTAGGGTCAGTCCCACAGCGGGTGTGATTGGAGTGTGTGTTTCCCCAGGAACACCAGAAAGACAGATGCCAGAGTTCTGTTGTAGGGAATTGTTCTCATGAGCTTATGAGATTGTTCTGGTTTCTTCTCAGTGATAATGTTATTAAAAGGACGTATGAAGGAACTTGGCGTTGGTTCCTATTGAAAGCTATTGGTTGTAAGCCTACTTGAACCAGGCTAGCCTCAACCCTAATGCATTTTTAGAATTTTATTTATTATGTATACAGTGCTCTGCCTGCATGTGTGCCTGTAGGCCAGAAGAGGGCACCAGAGCTTCTTACAGATGGTTACCAACCACCGTGTGGTTGCTGGGAATTGAAACTCAGGACCTTTGGAAGAACAGCCTGTGATCTTAACCTCTGCGCCATCTCTCCAGCTCCTAATGCATTTTTTGAGGCCTCCCCCACGAGCTAGGCAAACCTACACGTCTACAGTAGAATACACTCTTTTTTTTAAGTCACTGCATGTTTATGTAGGTAGCAACCTATTTAACTTGGCAGAATGACATCAGTAGCCCTAATATTTCACGATCATAGTTGGCTGTCTACCAAAAGCCAACAAAGCCACTGAAAATGATGTTCTGGCTCTTCAGTGTTTCAGATGCCTTTACAGCTAAGTATGTCTGAAAAAAAGTATAATGAGCCACTCGGTGTTGGAGAAACAGGTGTATGTGTTGACACTCACCAGGTGTCCTTGTTCATTAGTCACAGGCCAGTCAGTTGTCTACCCAGCAGAGGAAGCTGGATGATGCTGGGTAGATGTTAGTGTAGGTTAAGTTAGCAGAGACTGTTTTGTTTTTTTTTTTTTTTCCTCTTTTCCCACTTGGCTAGCTTGACATCAGTTTCCTCTAATAGGATGTTGAACTTTTTTTATGTTTCTATTTTTAGTAGTCATTTTTTTTTTTTTTTTGTTGTTGTTGTATTCCCTGGCAGAGGCTTTTCTTTTCCTTGTTGTAGCAACCGAGGTTTGGCATGGGGGTATAGAAGGCCTGGTTGTACACACACATACACACACACTGTGACACACTCACTCACATATATGCACATATCCAGGTGCAACTTCCTCCTGAGTTTGTTGGACGTGGAAGGCCTTCACTGAGGCCCGTGGCATCCTCAGATCAGATACAGCATTTATGCTGAACGCGAGGCTGCTGCGCGAGGTAGAGAGCAAACCCTGGGAACGCTCAGCAGAGAGAGGAGCTTCTAGTCTGTGTGCAGACAGGAGCGGCACAGGCCTAGCAGGATGTGATGCTTAAGTGAGGGTGATTAGCCTATGCATTTTTTTAATAGTTTCGAAGAAAAATGGTTTTTATTTTAATGGCTTTATTTTTACTGGTAAATTAGCAACCTACGATTTGTTTTGTGGCATCTTCTTATTTGTTTGTTTACTCTGAGGTAGGGTCTCACTGTGTCCCTGGCTGGCCTGGAACTCTATGTGGACCAGGCTGGCCTTGAACTCGCAGAGATCAGCCCACCTCTGCCTCTCGGGTGCTGGAATTAAAGCCGTGTGCCACCATATCCAGCTTTACTTTGCTTTTTTATGTCTCACAAAATTCACAGTTAGAAAAAAACCTTTTGTTCTGCTTTTATTGCTTGACATACACTCTTTCTATGTGGCCCAGGCTAGCCTTGAGCTCATTCCTCTTGCTTCAAAGCCCTCCCAAGTGCAGCAGGTGGGGTACATATGGAAATTGGGGGTGGGACATTTGCTGGGTGTTGCTGATGTGTGCCGCCATGCCCAGACTGAGTAAAGCATCTAGAAGTCTGTTGTGTGTCTTCCTGGAGGCACACTGTCACGGATGTTAAGTCCCCTGTGATCGTTAGCTGGGAAACAGAGGGAAGGATGCTTATGAGACCAACCAGGCCTTTGAGGAGCCACGTTCCAGGGCAGTGAGTTAGAGAGGGCTACACTGAGTGTCTGCTGAATGCGGTAGACCTAGAGAACCTTTCCCCGTTCAAAGACATCCCCTTTGCACAGGAAGTAGCATCAGTTAGTTGGTTTGACTGATTTCGCCTTTCTGAGAACACTGTGAAGAGAACATGTGAACACTACAAGAGACGTGTCCTTAGCAACCTGGGGACTGTTTCAGTTTGACTTTTCTATAGATTTGTTAAGGTGCAAATACTTGAAAAAAATTTAAGTGCTTTCCTTTTTTTTTCCCCCAGCTTTTTATTATTCACTGTGATTTGTTATGTATGAGACATAGCTTCTCTTATAATAATGATTAATATGCCATGTGACAGATCTTGTATAAAAGAGGTTTATTTCGGGGGAGATGGGGATGAGGGGAGGGGGGACCTGGGGAGAGGGATCAGTCAAGACAGAGAGAGACACAGAGAGACAGAGCATAAGAGATAGGGAAGCTGGTGGGGTCCTCTTATCAGGTACACACCTGGTGCGCACCTGGCGGTGATGATGTCAGAAGTTGCTAGGCCACGAAAGGCAGGCTAGTGGACCGACCCTTCTGTTTGCTAACAGCTTCCTGTTAAGATCTGTCCTAAGAAATCTTTTGATGTTGAAAAAAAGTTTTTACTTACAGAAAAAAATAATCAAACTCCTCTCTAAAATCCAGTGTATTTCCTTGGCATAAATTTGGGGGGGAGGGGATCACAACACAAAATTATCCTTATTGGTGCTTTCTCGAGGCATAGGAGTTTGGTATTTAGGAACACCAAAAGTTTGCATACAGACATTCTTTTGTGCACCATTTGGATTTGACTCATAGACAAAGCCAATCTGCTTCTAATATTAATGGAGAGCAGAAAAAAAAAAAAAATACAGGATCTGATCAGCAAAACCCTTTTTTGGATGTGTAAGGTAGTTTTCTGTGTAACATAAGAACATCGTTAACCAGGGTTGTGTTTCTGTAGGTGGGTAGCCTATGAAAACCCGGATTTTACGGGGGAGCAATATATCCTCGACAAAGGCTTCTACACCAGCTTTGAGGACTGGGGAGGCAAGAACTGTAAGATCTCTTCCGTTCAACCCATATGCTTGGTAAGGAGTTCACTCTCATGGGAATATTACTTCATCCCCGGCTTCCTTGCATGGCTTCTAGTTTGTGTAGCGATTGCTACGGGAGATATTCTCGGGTAATTTTAACGGTAATTGCTAATGCATCCGAAAAGAAATTTTTTTGTGTGTATACCATTTGATTTAATAATTAGTTTATAATTTTGGTAAGAATACATTGTTTGAAGAGGTGTTCAGAAAAGCATTAAGAATAATTGCAAAGCTGGGCATGGTGGTGCATGCCTTTAGTTTCAGTACTTAGGAAGGCAGAGGCAGATGGGTTGTTTTGAATTTGAGGCCAGCCTGGTCTACAAAGTGAGTCCAGGACAGTCAGGGCTACACAGAAAAACCCTGTCTCAAAAAATCAAGAGAGAGAGGGAGAGAGAGAGAGAATAATTGCAAATGTGTTGCAAATATCAGGTACCCAGCAAATAATTCAATTACTGTTCTTGCTCAGTCCCAGTTTTCCTTATGTCAGTAAACAAATATCTTAGATGTTTTCATTATTATGCAACTGTTGAGATCAGAACACTAGGCAAGACCAAGTTTCTTTCCCTCCCAAGAAGTTTGGGCACTGTAATCCAGCACATTCTGGACTTAAAAAAATGTTTTAATTAATTTCTTGAGAATTTCATATTGGGCTTAAGGATATTATTGATCTTTTGGGATGAGAAACACTGAAAGATTTAAATAGGAAATTAGATGTGACTTGTATAGTGAAATTCAGAGATTTAAAAATTCTTACTAATAACTAATGAGAAATGTGGAAAGCTAGAGAGATAGCTTAGCTGTTGAGAACAACACTGGCTGTTTTTCTAGAGGACCCAGATTCCATTTCCAGTACACACTTGGTGGTTTATAACCATCTGTGACCCCATCTCCAGAGTTATCTGACATCTTCTTCTGGCTTCTTGGAACACCAAGAACTCATGTGTTGAACATATACGGATGCAGGCAAAATGCCCATACACATAAAATAAAATAAATGATAAAAATAAGAATTTGGAGAATGGATTGGAGAGGACTGAGTAGTCATAAAGAGGGTTTTACAGGAGTCCCAAGAAGTGAGAGTGGGTCTTCTTAAATTTGCAAGCATTTGGAGCCACCATTTGGGAGCCATGTCGCATTTCAGGGGAAGAACTTATCCAAGGCTTTATAGAGGATGATGTTAAAACTATCACGAGGAAAGCAGTTTTGTAAAGTTTCTATTGCCTTGACTTCCCTGAGCATTAGTCAGCATTCTTAAGGAGTTAAGTATGAATATATTTGAGTCATTTGCTAAATTACTTGGAAGGACTTAGAGAAACAGAACAATGCTAAGAATCGAAAAGAAATTTTTAACACGGCTCCTTTAGTAACCTTTTTTCTCTCTCTCTTCTTTTAAAAAATGTTTAGGATTCTCTCACTGGTCCAAGGAGACAAAATCAGGTAACTTAAAACACATTGTATAATTAGAGGGTGTCCATTTTCCATTGAAAAAGTGAGCATAAATGCCAGATGTGTGGGATGTTTCACCCATGCTTAGTTCTGAAAGCATTAGCATGCTTAATCAATGGCCTGTGTCTATGTATCTCTCATACAATGCTTTTGAAAGAAAATTCTGGATTTAATTTCATAAGTAAATATTTGTGGGAATAGCACATGGCTATCTTGTCATATTAGGATTTCACATTTGCTGGGTACGTGTTAGCAAGCAATTTATGTGGTGTCCTGCAAGCCTTCGAGTTGCTGACTCTCAGGCCAATTCCATTGTCACTTTTGTTATTTAGGCTTTTTAATGTAAGTATTCAGACAGCTATAATTATGTACAGAAGCATAAATACCATTGTAGCCTCTTTTATTGGCATATAGAGATTCTAAAAAGTCAGCATGTATCTTCCTTGGAGAGGGAGGGAAACCAGACTACATGCTTCCCGATCTCATCTATTGTTAATGTTAGAACCTGTGAATAATCGCCTTTGGCCACAATAAAGCTTTAACAGGCCTCATAGCTTGTAAGAGCAGGGAGTTCTTCAGAAAGTTGCCTCTGTTGTTCCACTGGCCTTTGATGCCTCTAAATTAAATGCTCAGGAATGGTACAGCCAAGGTCTCTAAGTGATCACTGGTGACCTAGAAGAAAATGAAAGGATTTATAACATTTATACAAGTTTACTCTAACTCAGAGTTAGCACGTCAGGTCTGGGTCACCATCTAAAGAGCTGAGTTAAGGGCTGGGAAGGAGGCTCAGAGGTTAAAGGCACAGGCTGTTCTTTCAGAGGTTCTATGCCCAGCACACATGTGGCAGCTCACAACTGTCTAAACCACAGTCCCAGAGGGCCTGACACCCTCTGCTGGCCTCGATAGACACCAGGCACAAACGTAATACATAGGCATAAATATGCAAGCAAAATGTGCACACACATAAAAATTAAAAAACAAACTAAAAACCAGTAATCTGAACATGTTCAGGAAGATAATTCTTCTGTTTCTCTTCCATTTTTTAAAGATTCACTTGTTTTCAGAACCACAGTTCCGAGGTCAAAGTCAGAGTTTTGAAGAGACCATAAATCAAATTGACGATTCATTTCTGACTAAGTCTTGCAGAGTTCTGGGAGGCAGGTAAGTGGACCGAGAGGGGCAGAGGCAGATCACCAGGCTGGAGAAGTCACATGCTTGCAAGTCTTCCCTGGCTACTGTTGGTGGCTGGTACTGGGAAATCACTGCATCAGTTGGGAAGCTTGCTTTGTAGCATCTGGGGTCAGAGGTCATAGGATGTGCATGGCAAGATGGGATGCAGAAGCATCCTCAGTGTGCAGGATTCAGACCAGTTCTGTACTGTGTACCTACTCCAGCCTCTGTAAAAGGGGAGGGATCTGGGGGGAACTTAAGTACCTCCTAAGACAGATTTTTTTGGGGGTGGTGGTGGTAAGGAAGACAAGAGTAGGGTCAGCATGGCAGGCAGGTGAAGAGTCAACACCCTGGCGGAGAGAGCTTGTGGTGGCAGAAATGAAGCCAACCTAGACGAGGGGAGAGAGTGGATCTGACTCCCATTGGGCAAATATAGAGTTTGATGGGTCCATGGGTTCATAAAGAAACACAGATTGGAGAGACGCCTTAGCCATTAAGGGTACTAATTGATCTTCTAGAGGTCCTGAGTTCAATTTCCAGCAACCACATGGTGGTTTACAACCATCTGAGATGGAGTATGATGCCCTCTTCTGTTATACAGAAAGAAAGAACACTCATATACACAACTAAAGAAATCTTTAAAAAAAAGCCTGGGGCATGGTAGCACATGGCTTTAATCCTAGCCAGCACTCCTGAGGCAGAACCAGGCAGATCTGTGAGTTTGAGGTCAGCATTGTCTACAAAGTGACAGGCTGGGGGTCAGGGGCAGTGAACCCACAGTGTTGCACAAAAAGCAGTCATCTTATAAAAGCTTCATAAGAATGAGAGAAACCGAGGAAACCTTGAAGCCATCTAGAAAGAGGCCAGGGAATTAAGCCTAATGGTAGCGATGGTGCTGCCTTTAATATTATAGTTGGTGTGGTTCAGTGCCAAACAGTGAAAGAGCACCGGCTTGGTGTCAGATCAGCCGAGCACCAGGAGAGAGGAAGTGTTTCAGTTTCCTGGCTCACTCACCCATCCCACCCCAACCGTCTTCTATCCTGCTTCATTTCCTACTGCCAGACACATGCAGTTTTTATTGTTTATCATCTGTCTCAGCTTGCCAGAGTATCTAAGAGATCAGGGACAGTGCTGCTTTTGCCATGTCTTGGGCAACAGGACAGTACCCAATATGCAGTCAGTCCTCATCTGTTAGATTGAAATTTAAAAGCCTCAGCCTCTTTAGGGGAGCATGGCAAGCCACTCTGGCCCAGGCCCAGGCGTTAGGAACAAGGGAAGGGTAAGGAAGGACATTTTCGGTAAATGAAGTTGGACCTGGTGGCTCAGGCCTTTAATCCCAGCTGTTTGGGAGACTGAGGCAGGGGGATCACAGGTTCGGGGACTTGCCTCAGTTACAAAGTGAGTTCAAGGCAGCCAGGAAATCTAGAGAGGCCACACTGGGTAGGAGCACAGTGGAAGGCTGGGAGGTGGGAAATAAAAAAGAAAACCACATCCCTTCCCACCCAGTAAGTTAACTAACTTAGACACATTAAATGAGATGAAATTCAGCAAATATATCTAGATACTTAAAAAAAAAATCAGTTAGCTAGAAGATTTAGGCTTATTTTAAAGCAAGTACCTCTAGAAATCATATTTCTTTTCTTTCTTTCATCTATTTTTTTTTTTTTTAAAGACAGGATCTTACTCTGTATTTCTGGCTGTCCTGGAACTGTATAGATCAGGCTGACCTTGAACTTACAGAGATACATCTGCTTCTGCCTCCCAAGTGCTGGGATTAAAGGGGTATACCACTGGGCTTGGCATAAAAATCAGATTTCTTAAACAGGATTATATATATTTCATACTGTGTGTTTGTTCCTATTATAGCTGGGTTGCTTATGATGGAGAAAATTTCTCTGGCAATCAGTATGTGCTGGAAGAAGGCCACTATCCTTGTCTCTCTGCAATGGGATGCCTGCCTGGAGCAACCCTGAAGTCTCTTCGCTTTATAGATGTTGTGAGTATGGCATGGTGGCATAGGCTTGCACTGTTCACATCGCTGATGGTTAGAGCAAGGAAGCCAGCAGCTAGGACTCCCGCAGATTACAGCTGCACCAGACCAGAGCTTTCTACCCTCAGGATTTTGTTCTTCTTTTTTAAATTTATTTTTTTGTGCACGTGTGCCTCTGTGTGTGTGTATGCATGCACACGTATGTGCAGATGCTCCCAGAGGCCGAAAGAAGGCAAATGGTCCCCCGGACTGGAGCCACAGGAGACTCAAAGCCACCAGAAGTCGGAACTAAGAACTGAATAGAACTGAATTAGGTCCTCTGGAAGAGCAGCAAATGCTCTTAACCACAGACCCATCTCTCCACCCCCAGCTTTTGTGCTTTTTCTGTTAAAACCAGATCTTTTATTTGCTCTTTCTCTGGCTTCTTACTCGGGACATTCATTTATTTACACCCACGACAGCCATCTGGTCGTTTCAGCCCCTCTGCCATCTTTTTTCCCCCACTCCCTTTCTTTTTCCTAACTCATATTTCTGTTCCTCTCCCCTTCACAGCCACTCTTTGTGTTTTATGAACACAGCTTGAATATTCTTGTAAAATTCGTGCTTTTAAAAAGTGTGTGTATGTATATGTAGAAGCTTTAATTTTATGTCATCACTATGCTATAGTTCTCACAGGACATAATCAGACTTTAATGTTACTGTTTAAAAGAGCTATTTTGTTGCTTGCACATCTAGTTTTTTGACTCTTAACTGTCTCATGTTCTGCCACCACTGCTTCCTGAATTCCTGTGGACCTGTGTGGGAAGGGGTCTCCCAGGCCATCCGGGGCAGAAGTGCTGCTGTGTGGGAAGGGGTCCCCTGGGCTATCCAGGGTGTATTCACAAGTGTAGACCGGCACTTCACTCTGTGCTGACAAAGTCACGGCAGATCAAGAGTTCCTCCCTCCCACGCTGTGCAAGCTTGATGAAATGAGTTGATTTATATCTCACTGTTAGTGGCTTGGTCTCTGTCCTTACTTGTCATTTGGGGTTTCTGTTGAACCCCAGGAAGAGAAGACTCTCTTTCTTCAGAATCCTAGTCTCTTGTTACCAATTTTCAGGAACTCCTGGGGTTCAGTCTATTGTCACTCTGCTCTTTTTAAATGTTTTATGTGTGTGGGTGTTTTGCCTGCATGTGTATCTGTGTACCACGTATCAATGCCTGCAAAGGCCAGAAGATGACTTAGGGTCCTCGGGAACTGGAGTTAAAGTGGTCGTAAGCTGTCATGTGGGCACCAGGAACTAAGCCCAGGTCCTCTGCAAGAGCAGCAAATGTTCTTATTCATTGAGCCTCCTCTTTCTAGTCCTGCTTCAAGTTTTCCATTAACCCAGGCTATCAACTGTGTTCTAATCCAAGTGACAGTACCCCCTTTGAACATATCTTTCATCTGAGCCAATCAAAACGATATTTTCAGTACAATAAAACCAGAGAATGATGTTCATATACTTAAGTCTAGGTGTGTCTATAGTTTAGGAAATTTTTATTTGCTTTTGGTAGCTAGTCTCATAAAACACTTTAAACATCCCTATGATTTTAGTCTTAAATGTAGGGAGAATGTGTGTGTTGGCTTTCCAGCACCTGGGCCTGCTGGCCTATTTAAATAATAAGATGCTGTTGAGACAGGAAAGCATCAGCAATGAAACCTGGAGTAATGCAGAGTCATCAGCTTATAGATAAAGATTGGGATGTGGCCCAGCAGATCCAGGAATGCTCGCCTGGATGGAGGAAGCTCTGGCTCGATCCTCAGCACCACACACACCTGAATTCTCAGCACTTGGGAGGGAGAAAGAGAAGAATCAGAAGTTCAGAGTCAGACTTGGCCGCATAGTGAATTTGGGCCCAGACCTGTTTCAAAATAAAACAGGCCAGGTCATGAAAGAAGACTAAAATACACACACACACACACACACACACACACACACACACTAATGTGCCCAGAATTCTAAAAGCTACTTGAAAGTTTCCCTTCTTGGCACATATATTTACATCATTTGGTCACTTAAAGATGGTAGCCTTTTAAGTTTCTATTATGGAGATCTACCCAGAATGAGATGAGGCATCCTATATGTCTGAGTTAGGGGCTTGTGTCTTGCTGGGGACCAAACATGGGCCCTCATGCATGCTAGGCAAAGACTGCATGACTGAGCCATACCCTTTGCCTGATGCATTTCCAACTGTACTGTAACACCTCAAAATTGTTTAAATTATTTCTGACAGTAAATTTGAATGTTTAGGCTGTTTCGGCATGTCATCTGTATATATAATCATACAAATTAGTAATCCTGCACTTTTTGACTGGTTCCCTCCTGTGTTATATATATTCTGCATCCTAGACCATGGGACCCACCTCCACACACCATCAGCCGTTAGCTGATGGCAGCCAGACTCTGTCCTGCATGTCAGGGCACATCAACACAGATGAACAGTAATGTGTCTCACCTGTACACAGCCTGAAGCAGGTTGGAAATAACTGTGGTCCCTGTATGCTTCTTTTATGTGTCATTTGTGATCTTGGAAATGTTATCATTGGAGCCTAGGGGCCGGGGGCCTGTAATTGTGACAAGAAACATAAACTTCAACTTTTATCTGAAAATAAGTTGGATGCTGCTGTCCTCTCGAAAATGCCTGTGGCTTCTACCTGTGGTCTCTGTCCCCTCCTGACAATAGCTCCTACAAGGGGGTTTGAGAACAGGAGCCTGTAGAATCCTTTAATCCTGGCGATTAAAGTGGGCTCACGTTTATGACTCACTACCATGAATGCCCAATCATCCAATATAGACTCAGAAATCCAAACCACCCAACCCAACCAAACTTCAGACACCAGAAACCCCTGTGAGGGGAAGGCTACCAGGCTCAATGGCACTACCGTATCACCACTAGACACCGGGTTACCAAGGCCTTCTGGCCCTTGCTGTTAATGTCTGTGGCTTTCCAGCCTCATCTAACTGAAAAACTGCAAGATGAAAGTAAATTTCATTTGAGGGCTGGTGTTCCACGTATATTGCCATGGGCTGTTCTGTGTCCCTGCTTTTCTGTGGTCTCTTTTAACCTGCCTTTAGATGCAATAGAAAAGGTTCCTCCCCTCCTCTCCTTCTTTCCTTTAACTTTGCAGGCTAGCAACATCCTGATTGGCTGAGTTTATAAATAGGTAAATCCTGGCAGGGTCGTCCTGTGCCTTTTCCTTGAGAGCAGACAATGTCTTACCAGCTTCAGGCTATCCACAGAAGCTTTGCATTATTAACAAATGAGCAAATTTGCCCCCAAACAGGAATTTTCTGAACCAACAATTATTCTTTTTGAAAGAGAAAACTTCAAAGGAAAAAAGATTGAACTGAATGCTGAAACAGTCAATCTCCGATCCATGGGATTCAACACTCAGATACGCTCTGTCCAGGTCATTGGTGGCATGTGAGTGAGTTACCTACTTGTTGATCTACTAAAACAGATGGTGTCTCTTTTTCTTCCTTTCATAGATGTGCTTTTCCTGTGAAGCACATTTAAAAAATATGTACATATGAATACATACATATACACACCCCCAAAGTGTACCATCTCATTCTATATACCTCTCCATTTCCTCATAATGGAAACTTAAAAGAATATCATCATTAAGTGACTGAATGAAGTGAATGTATGTGCCAAGAAGGGACAACACTGGGAAACTTCAAATGCACATTGCAGTGCCGTCAGCGAACTGGCAGGCAGTGTTTGACTCTCAGTGTGGGTGAGCATTACACACTTCCATGACATATTTATCTCAGTGGGTTAAGTCTGTATAAAGTACCAGTCATGCATGAATCCAGACCTTTTTGCTTAAGGTTAGGGTAAGGATGCAAAATCCCCAGGGGAAGCTTCTCAACAGCGTACTCGGCGAATTCATGGTGCATTTTTTTTTTTTTTTAAGAGAGAACTAGATTCTTCTCAATCCTCTGAAAGGCTGGAAAGACCATGCCCTTTGATTTTAGAGCAAAGGGTAGACTTTTGCCTTTGATTGTAGATACTGTATAAGTTATTAAGTTAACTGGGAAGGTGCGGCAAGGTCAGTGAATAGAAGACATCACTATGTGAGCCTGATGGCCTGAGCTTAGTCCAGAACAGAGAACTGACTGTACAAGGTTGTCTTGTGACCTCCACGTCCATGCTGTGGCATGTCCCCAGCCCATCATCTACACACACACTAATAAAATAATAAAGTAAAAAGTTGCAACTCCACCCTATCTATCTTCTTTCTCCTTTCTTAGCAGGGTCTCTCTGTGGAGTCTTAGCTAGACTGGAACTGGCTGTACAGAGCAGGCTAGCCTCAACCTCACAGAGATCCACCACATCTGTCTCCCATATGCTGGGATTAAATGTAGGCATCACCGTGCCTAGCTCCGCCAGCCAATTCTTTTCTTAAACTTGGGAAGAGTTTGCTTTTTATCTCTGAATAATCCTAAAACTGAATTGGGAATAAATAAATACATAGCAATGCAATACATTTGTCTGTGAAGAACATTTTTCTTTTATTAAAATAATGGGTAATGCATTCTGAGATGCATAGATATTGAAGGGACAGATATTGTGGACAAATGGGCTGTACCACACTCACTAAAAATAATTAAGGAATTATTAGGGCTGAAGCTTTTAATTGTTTTCAGTAAATTTGATGACTATTTTATAAGAGAGATGAAATGTTTACACTTAAAGTTCTGGGGTTTACAGTAGAGAACGGCCTTCTCCAATGATCGGCAAAGCAGGATTGTGGTGTCCTCAGTCTGTAGGGTTCCCGGGTGTACACTCCAGTGTGTGAGTGGGGGAACTTGGTGTAGCACTTTTGGATTCTGGGAAGGTCACCCTTATTTTAAACAACAACCAAAAAAAAATGTTTTCTAATTGTCTTAAAATGTATCTTTAGTTAGCATCAAAGTAACAGGCTCTATCATGGCTCCATACATACTTTTTGCTTCATAGACCTTCCTTTCTCCACATGTGAAGAATGTATTTTTATCCAATCATTACATTCACCGGTATACTCATGAAAACTTTGTAAATGTTAATGTTTTCAGTAAGGATCTTTAACCTGAAGATGATTTATAAACAACTTTCAGAAAGGACTGCAGAGCCTTGCTGACAAAGCATCTCTATTTCATTCTTTATTGGAGGGAAAAAGCTTATCTATTTCTCTCTCAGAATGGATTCTGACATAAATACTTAAGTACTTCTGATCCTCCAAAAATTTATTATTAATCAAGAAATAGCTTTGAGTAGTCCAGACCGTAGGCTTATTTTCCCTTCAATGTATATTTAAAGCTCAGAATTAAAAATGTCCTGAGCTGGGCATGATAATCCCAGTATTTGAGAGGCAGAGGCAGACCAGCCTGGTATATGTATTGAGTTCCAGGACAGCCAGGCATACATAAAAGAGACTCTGTCACAAAAACAGAAAAGAGAAAGAAAGAAAGGAAGGAAGCTTACAGCATTCTGAAAGCAAATGTAATTGTCAAGGCCCGCCAGCAAGTGGAAGTTGTCATCAGCTGTGGTTTGTCCTCTTTTCAGATGGGTTACTTATGAATATGGCAATTACAGAGGCCGACAGTTCCTGCTGTCTCCTGCAGAAGTACCAAATTGGTATGAGTTCAGTGGCTGCCGCCAAATAGGTTCTCTACGGCCCTTTGTTCAGGTATGTGAAATTCCCTTCCGAGCTGTGCAAAGACTTCTTGAAAAATATTTTTGTAAATATAGCTCAGCCTTTTAGTTTCGATTCAAAGTTTGACACTGGCTCCTCTCCCCACACTATTTGGACATCAAGTTCATGGCATCGAGAGGCATGATGGGTATTTCAGAAAGGGCAGCAAGCCCAACAGCACATGTGCATGTATCGGCTCTGGTTGTCCATTTGGCACACTCCCTGCCTTGGTCACCCTGGGATGTCCTCAGACTCTCGGCACTGAGAACAGCACTGAGGCCCTCAGCACGTGGCCCTGGGTGTGCTCCACCTGGGATGCTTCCAGATGTCAGTGGCTCAGTCTTTCCAGCAGCACAGCTGTCTGTGACTGTCGCTGGGGTTTTGTCTTCTAGAAACGAATTTACTTCAGACTTCGAAACAAAGCAACAGGGCTGTTTATGTCAACCAATGGGAACTTGGAGGACCTGAAGCTTCTCAGAGTCCAGGTCATGGAAGATGTTGGTGCTGACGATCAGATTTGGATCTATCAAGAAGGCTGCATCAAATGCAGGGTGAGCATCAGGGCCTGCGCAGACATTGCCTTACTGGGCCTGGGGCCTTTTCAGGTGGATGCTGTGACACAGTTCCCAGAGACCTTCCAGAAATAAACTAGAAGGTTTTTCTTTTCCCCATGAAAACATTTCCCAGCTGTGACAGAATCAGAATCAGGGCTGGGAACTTATCATACAAAGGGAATCCAGAGCTGATCCAGCAAGGGAGGGTCAGTTTGCTCAGAGCCATAACCTAGAACATCTGTGTGTCAGAAATCACTGCCAGGATCGGTTCCATTCTGGAGAACTCTGCAGAGGAGGAGGAGGGTGGAGAGGCATGGCATGGGCTATGCGGCACCGTCCCTAATGGTCACCCGCTGTCGAATGGGAAGTGGTCCTTGTGCTCGAGTCACTCCTGCCACAGCAGGCGTTAAAGCCATGCCAGATTTCACAAGACAAGCTCATGCACTGCTGTGGGCGTCTCTCCCCTCCCCCCAGCTTTATGAGCTTGTCTGTTTGCTCCTGACCCCTGAAAGAGTTGGTGCCTGTGAGTCAGCAGGAGCACACCCGTTCTTAGGCCTGTTGTGCCTGGGGAAGAATCGTGCCTTTTTAAGCAGAGGTACTGCTTAGGCACACAGAAGAAGACATTGGAGAGGCAGGGGTGGCTGGAGGACGGGAAATGAAAAGCAGCAGCTTCTGCCTTGGGTCCATCTCAAATCAAGAAAGCGGTGCCCTCCGCAATGCTAACGTTTCAGTGATGTTATTTAATATCTCACGTCAGTAGGCCAAGGAGACAAAGTGAGATGTCACAGATGATCACAATGCTTTCACCAGCATAGGTGTGCGTGCATGCTAGCAGGGCACTCTCCCACTGAGCCATGCCCCTGCCCACAACCGTCCACTTTTATAAGCTTTCACTGCAGGGAGGTGTAACTGTTCCTTACCTCCTGCATTAACTCACCCTGTTTTGCATTTGCGTTTTTCTACTTGTTATATACCTAGATAGCATGCCAACTTAGAAAATCTTAGATGTTTCTCATGACATGCCAACTTAGAAAATCTTAGATGTTTCTCATGACAGAAAGCCAAGGAGCCAGTGAATGTAACTCCAGGTTTGTTTGTTTGTTTGTTTGTTTGTTTTTGGGGGGGTTGCATTTTGTGACAGCTTGGGCGCAGCTACAGAGAAGAGCAGACATGAGCTGGACACTCAAGTATGAGCTGCAGACTCGGCCTCACAGCATGCAGCACGCTGACTGTGACAGGGTCACGGTGGGCAGTTTACTGACCCGGAGCTCCTCTTTTTTCCCTAAGTTTCAGTGTGTGGGTATTTTGCCTGCATGAATGCACCTTGCACATGGTTGTCCATGGAGGCCAGAAGAGGGCATTAGGTCCCTGGGACCGGGATTTTGGTGGTTAGCTAGCGTGTGGGTGCTGGGAATTGAACACAGGTGCCTCATAATCGGCAGCCAGTGTTAACCGCCAACCCTTGATTGAGGCTGCTTTTAATAGCAAGAGTCTTACAAGGGCCAGTCTCGCAGTGCATGAGGATTGAGAACTCACCATGGCTCCTGTCATCTGAAGTAAAGGGCCTGTTGTTTGGCTTCAGTTACTTCAGCCAGTAGATGAAATGGCTCTTGTGGGATAAAGCAAGCCAGGGACGATGACCAGGCTTCGACGTCAGTTTGTGAGGCCAAGTGTGTGTCCTGAGATGGCCTGTTGTTTTCCTACGCAGATAGCCGAAGACTGCTGCCTGACAATTGTGGGCAGCCTCGTGACGTCCGGCTCTAAACTGGGACTGGCCCTCTATCAAAACGCTGACAGTCAGTTCTGGTGCATGAAGTCGGATGGCAGGATCTACAGCAAGTTGAAACCGAACTTGGTCTTGGATGTGAAAGGTGAGGACCATCTCGACGTGTCTTTCCTTGTGATGCTCCCTTCTTCAGTTAAGGAAAAGCCTACTGTGAAACGCTGGGTGTGGTGCTAATATGCTGCCGGGTGCCAAGGACTGGGCTTTTGGTTCTGGGAATTGAATCAAGGCTCTCACATATGCTAAGCATGTGCTCACAGAGCTACATCTGCAGTTTTCATAGTAGTGTTAGGCTGTGATTTTATTTGGTCAGTGTGGTTGATGGTTCTCATGTACAGAAAGATAGCTTCTCATTAATAAAATTCAAGTTCTAGAAGGAATTACCGAATACTAGGGTTATCTCTCTGTCTATCTATAGAAAGGGTAATTATTAGAATAATTTACAGACTGTGGTCAACTTATCCAACAATGGCTGCCTATGAATGGAAGGTCCAAGAACCCAGTACTTGTTTAGTCCATGAAGCTAGATGTCTTAGCTGGTCTTCAGTATCTGCTGCAACCCTGAAGAGGTAGGTTCTACTGCCAGCGAAGGAATGGACTTGCCAGCAAGAGCTAGAGCAAGGCGAAGAGGGAGGCCTCCTTACTCCGTGTCCTTACATGGCAGTGACTCTCAGCCTTCCTAATACTGCGACCTTTACTACCTTTACTACAGTTCCTTTGTGGTGACCTCCAACTATAAAACTATCTTCATTGCTACTTCATAACTGTAACTTTGCTACTGTTACGAATAGTCACGTAAACATCTGTGCTTTCTGATGGTCTTAAGCAGCCCCCTCGGTTAAGAACCTGTTGCATGAGCTTCCAGCAGATGTGGCCCAGGTTACAGGTGGGGCTTCCCACCTCAAAGACTGGACTAGAAGGGGTCATCTTCTCACTTCAAATGCTTTAATTAAGCAGAGAGCCCTCACAGGTGTGCCCAGTCAGGCTGGGTTTTAGTTAATTCCATATGCAGTCAAGCAGATAACCAAAGTAGCCCTCACCTACAGCCTGGAGGACTTCAATGCAAATTAATGAAGTTTTAGTGAAGCTAATCTAAAGTGAACTAATAGTGCTTGGGAAGAAAAAGTTAGGTCTGTGGTCATCTGGGGGGTAGGGGTATTGTTAAAACACAGATTACTAGCTGGGCAGTGGTGGCGACTGCCTTTAATCCCAGCAGAGGCAGGTGGATCTTTGTGAGTTCAAGGCCAGCCTGGTCTGCAGGGTGATTCCAGGACCACCAAGGCTACAGAGAGAAATCCTCCCTTGAAAAACCAAAACCAATCAACCAACCAAAACTAACAAACCCCCACAAATTGCTATACGTCATCCTTAGAGTTCCTGACTCAGGAGGTCTGGAGGTGGGCTTTCTAACAGCTTCCTAGGTGTTGTTGATAGTGATGGTCTAAGAATCAAATACAATTGGTGAGGACTTTAAATCACAGCTCACAAACCAACCCCAACAATACAGGGACACACAGTGAGCGGGCACGCTGCTGTTTGCAAGTAGATGGAGGCTAGTTTAGTCTTGGCAATGAGATAATGTATAATTTATTTGTTCATTATAGTTACTTTAGTTTTCACTTTTGCATCACTCTTTAGCCTAGACTGCCCTTGAGCTCTGGGCAGCCCACCGACCTCAGCCTCCTAAATTCTGGAATTATAGTATGGCCTCTGCCACAGCAGGTGCCTTCACCAGTTAATATGGTCTCTAGTCCCCACCAGGAAAGGATGTAACAGTGAACCGGTTGTGGCCACAGTATACTACCTACGCTTCTAAACCCATACTTACTCAGGGCTCTGAACCAAAGCTGTCACTGAAAATGAGTAAGTCAGGGAAAAGAAACAGTGGCGGCTTGGTCCTTAAGACGCTTTTGGATAATGGAAGACAAGGCATGGACAATCGCATGGGCATTGGTAACTGCATAGGGAGCAGCAGTACTTCGCAATCCTGGTGGTCCAGGTAGGTAGGGTGGCCAGCCCACTTCCAGTGAGATTAGACATAAAGAGGCCAAGGAGCTGACTGGCACCCGGGAAGGCAAACACATGAGGCTAGATGAAGGCAGAGGCATCAAACCTTGAGTGATGTGACTGCAGACCCCAGGGGAACAGAAGCTGCACAGAAGAGGCGCGTGGAACCCCTGGGTGTGAGAGGTGAACAGCCGTAGATGGCGCGCCTCCCACACTGCATGTATAGTCAGACAAGAGGCCCGTCTCACAGATGAAAATCGTTTGGAAGTACTGACCCATGCTGGCCTTCATTCCCATAGGGCCATTCATGATGCCAGAACAAGCCAAGTCTCCAAACCATGAGAGGCTAGGATCCTAGCTGGGTGCTAGAATGCTTGGTTCCAGAAAGATGTAACTAAACTGGAAAGACGAGGTGTTTGAGTACATCAACTGAGCAAACCTTTGTTTCTCAGCTATGTGTCCAGGGTCAAGGTCACTGCAATCCTTAGGGCTTTTCTTTTCTTTTTTATTAGTCTTCACTGTGTGCCAGGCTCTGGAATCAAAGTGAAGACAATGGCTGGCTCTTCTCTCTATGAGACTCCTCTTTGTGGCCTCCCCCTAAAGTTCACTAGGTATTAGTCGCGCTCTCTGGAGAGGGTACTGGCTCGGAGGTTTGTGGGTTCTCAGTGTCTACTGCACAGTGCCACAGTTACTTTCTTGGTCCCCTAAACCTCTCTCAGAATGTGGGGAAATGGCGCCACCTTCTGGACACAAGCAGGTTTCATGGCCAGCACCCTGGTAGGAGAAATGCAGACAGGAGGCTCTGCTCTTCTGTACTTAGGAGGAACCTGTGGTTTTCATGTTACTTACTAACACTGTGCAAGGCTGACAGGATCAAGTCCTTCTTTTTGCCTTGTATTTCGGAGTGAGCTGTTTTAGTGAACACTGGAGTATCATTCCAGACCGGTAGCCTATGACAATAGTGGAACTGACTCCCTCTCTAATGAGAAGACATCAAAAGCCTGGCGGGGGGGGGGGGGGGTGTTGTATGCTAAACAGGCAAGTCAAACTACTATGTAAGGCATGGGAACTAAAAATTAACCAATACAAAAAAGGTAACCGCGGGCAATATCCTTTTTCTGTCCCCCATGCTGGCCTTAAATCTCTGCTCTTTCTGCCTCAGCCAAGTTGTGGGGTTATGAGCCATACCAGACAGCATCTTTCTAATATAAGCTGCCATTTAAGGGAATACTAGTGATTTATTTTAACTAGGATGTAATTTTTTTTTCCCCAATTACTCCTCAATCCTGTGTGCCAAGAACTCAACTATACCTGTGACAATAGCACCCTTCTCAGGCAGATGGGCAGGGGTGGTGTTACCTCAGAATATACAGGAGCCACAGGCATGGCAGGACTCCTGGGAGAGGTGGCCTGAGACATGGCCTTCAGGAACACACCCAAGAACTTACCATCTTCCTACCTGTCTCTAAAAATGTGGCAAGAAGAGGGGCGTTTGTGCTTCGGTTTTACAGACATTTAACTATTCACCCATCCGTCCTACACTGTCTTCCGTATCAGAGAGGCAAACAGAAATATATGTTTTCTAAATGAAAAAAAAAGTTTTAAATTCTTCTCAAAGGCAAAAAGACATGATTAGTCAGATGATTTCTCAAGAACTTCATAGGTTTTGTGATTCTCATGGCACTAGAGTAAACACAAGAATGAAAAAAGACACTGCATCCTTAATACTTTCTGAACTGTTGGAGTCTTTTGTGTTTAAATTTTCTTTTTTTAGATATATTAAGATACATGAGGGTTTTACTCACTTGCGTGTGTGTGCACGCTGAGTGCCTGGTGTCCTCTGAGGTCAGATGAGGACACTGGGTTCCTTGCAACTGGAATTGTGGATGGGTTTGAGCTGCAATGTCAGTGCTGGGAATCTTGTCCTCTGCAAGAACAAGTTGTTCTCTAACTGTGGACCCTTCTTTTCTCCAGCCAGCGAATGTGTTCTCTTGATGGAGCGCGCAGGATTGGCTGGGGGCCGAAGGGTCTTTCCTTGCCCTCTGCGCTGTACCACACCCAGCTTGGAGAGCTCTTGGTGCTGAGTGACTCTCTAAGCTGTCTAAGGATGAAGAGATGACTTTCTTCTCCAGATGCTTTTTTGCACTCTTTTCTTCTAAATGTTGTAAAGGAGAGATGAATGTTGTTTCTCCTTATCTGAGGATGGCATATGAATCTGTGCCATGCATCCAAATGCAGATTTTCATTTCCACAGCGTCCTTGGTGGAGAGGCTTCTGCTGAAGCAGATAAGGCATCAGAAAGGAAGTTTACCCCACACTGGGAAAAATCTGATAACCCTTTCTGTTTTAATGACTCTTCTATTGCTAGAAGGTACAGGCTGCTTCTCACACTGACGTGCCTCACGTTTTCAGTAAGCGCCTGTGGATAAGCCCCTTCAAGCATCCTGGTGAGAAAACAGGGTTCTTATAGCAGTACCCAGCATTACTTTACACACCCAAGTTTCCAACAGTTGAGGGGGTGTCTTCTGTATGCTTTGGGGTGTCATTCAAACCTTTAGCCAAATTATAGCCATTTTTTATTCTGCATGCAGAACCCACTGCCTCTGACTACCTCTCCATAGCCACCAGTTGTGCCTGCCCGCCCCTCACTGACCTCAAATCCCATGATCTCCCCATCCCATTTTACAGTGTTTTTGCTTTTTCTCCTTTCTCTAGACTTCCCTCTGTTGCCCCCATTTCAGATAGAGTGATAGTAGCTACACTGGCCTCTACAGCTGGGTAGAAAAGCGAGAGCCAGAAGACAAGGTGGGCTGTGTGCAGTTGCTGGTCCCAGGAAGGATTTTAGCCACACACACAAACCCACCCTGGCAAGCCGGCCTCATCTCAGACGCCAGGGCTTCCCTCTCTGCTCTTTCCCTACAGCACTGTTACTCCCAGTTGTCTTGTGCTCTTCCAGTGTTTTGACAACACTTGCTCCCTTCTCCCCTGGCATAGCTCTTACTTCTTTTCTTTCACTCAGGGGGTGCGCAGTATGATCAAAACCACATCATCCTCAACACAGTGAACACAGAGAAGCTAACACAAGTGTGGGAAGCCATGGTCCTGTGAACCTGAACCAAGAATGTAGGAGGAGCATTTCCTGGGGATTTCCTGAAGAAAAACAAAACTACAGAGCTGATGGAGCAGCCAAGTAGAAAGTGGACTGAAGGCCATGACAGGGAGAATTATCTTTTCAAAGACATTTGAGGATGAAGCCAATAGTTTAATGTTCTTGTTTCTTGCCTTGTATTGTCTCAGCAGCTCCTTAAACAGGCTGCTCTGGCAGCAGCTTTTGGGTGCAGATATTTGAAGATCAATTATTTCCAGGGACAGGAGGGGATACACTGGAGTGTGGACATACGATTCCCTTAGAGGGAAGGATGAAAGGCCAAGCTGGTTCTTCAGAAGACTTTAGCACTGGAGGGTGTTGCCAGACTTCTGATCCATAACTTTAACATTTTCCAGGACCATTTGTACTGGATGGCAGAGTAGGAAAGCCCTACATGCCCATATTCCAAGGAGTTTAGCAAGTATAAACAAAACACTATTCAAAGGAATAAATTTGCAAAATAAATGTTGATGTCTGCTCATGAGCAGAACTTGGGTTATTTTAATTCACCTGTGGACCACCCTTGAGTAGCTACAGATAGTTTAATGCCTCCCTTGCAGCTGCTATTGGGACAGTATTATGGCCTAATTTATTAACCCAAGCTCTGCCATCCACATCTAATGCTGAAAGCCATATTCTATAATTCTGGCTAAACTCAGACCTTTCAGCCTAGCTTCTCCAGGGCTACCAGCAGGAGGACTGCTTCAGATCTGAGGACACCCGGGACCTTCCTTCAGGCAGCAGAGATGTGCAAAGCTCCTAAGAGGACTAACAGTCTCTCCCAGTGAGGATGATTCCAGGGGCTCTGTGCAGTGTTAGTTCTCAGAGGGACCCAGGCCTCAGCGGGCAGTTCAGGAGCAACTGCTGCGATCTGCGATCCACTGGCCCAGGCTCTGCTACTCAAACAGCACACTGTCCTGTTGAACAAAACTGTGCTGTTTCCTTGAACTCCTCATCCTCATTTTGTCCTCATCACAACACTGGTGCTCTTGTCAGAGGTTGAACAGATCCTGCTTCCTTTCACCTGTTCAAGCCTGCTCCTCTCTGGAACCAACGGAGACAAGCATGCTCATCAGAATAGTTTCTCTGCAGTTTAAACAATATTTGCACAAACAACGGCATCTGACATGTCTGTCTTGTTCTTGTATGTACTTCTCTGACTGTAGGCCTTTTGTGTATGTCACTATAGTACAGTAGGGTAGGATAGCCTATAAAAGCCTATTTGGTTTTATCTCTTGAATAAACTTATTTCTGCTTAACCATGTGATGAAATCTTGGAATCAATTTAGCAGCCCTCCGGCTCTGCTGAGAGTCAGGGGACAGAGAGGGACACTGAAGGCTAACCTCAGGGAACTTTTTAGCCACCCTCTTATTAAGGTGCCCTACCACCTGGGAGCTTTCAGTGTCAAGAGCTGAGCTGTTCTAGATAGACAGAAGTCAAGTGGCACTGGCATTTATAATTTTTTTTTTTTCTATTTTTTGAGACAGGCTCTTTATGCAGCCCTGGCTGTCCTGGAACTCGCCATGTAGACCAGGCCTCAAACTCAAAGAGGTCTGCTTGCCTGTTCCTCTCAAGTGCTAAGATTAAAGGCATGCACCACCGTGCCCTGCTTTTTATACAGGGGCTGGACGACGGCTCAGCAGTTAAGAGCACTTGGTGTTCTTGCAGAGGCCCCAAGCTCAGTTTCCAGCACCCACACGACGGTGCATACTGTCTGTAACTCCAGACACAAAGGAAGTGATGCCTTTGCCTGGCCCCTGCAGGCAGTGCATGCATATAGTGTACTCACATACATGCAGGCAAAACACCCATACTAGTAAAATGAGAAGATAAATTTATACTGAAAAGTTCAGAGTGACTTCAGGAAACCCCATATCCAACATACTAAACAGTATTCTCACAGAAATAAATAGAATAGAGAGTTTCTCCAAATAAGTCTGTCTACATGGAAGGCTAGAAGCAAGGATCAATGGTAGAGTATTGAAGATGTGCATGAAACAGCAATAAACACCTTAAAGAAATGGCGACACATGAAGTCAGAAAATAGTGAACACTGGCAATGTCCACGGGAAAGTCCTAAGAGAAGTATGACTCAAGCTGAAAGAAGCCCAGCAAAATGTAAGAGCTATAAAAACCTCAGTCAGGTGTGGTGGCCCTAACCCTAACCCAGCATTTCAGAGTTGGAGGATGAAGGGTTAGGAGTTCAAGGTCATCCTCAGCTATGTATGTAGTTAAAAGCCAGCTTGTACTATATAAGATCCTGGTCTCAAAAGAAAAAACAAAACTTTCAGTATTAAAAGGCATTTTTAAAAACTTAAACTGCATATTTTTTAAGGCTAAGCAATTCCAAATTTAAAATTCCAAATTTTAAGTAAGAGTGGCAAATCAAAATGTAAAGAAGCCCTGGCCAGTGCCAGGCAGCTTTCATTACTGTGACGACACATCTGAGACGCCATCTGAGGAAGAAGGGTTTACTTTGGTGCACAGCTGGCGGTTTCACCTGAGGTTAGTTCATCTGGTTCTAGACTACCAGGAGGCAGCACACCATAGTGGCTTAGTGAGGTTCAGACTGCTGTGAAAACGCCAATGGAAAACATCTTGGGGAGGAAAGGGCTTATTTCACCTCACAGATTGCAGTCCATCATGGCGGGAAGTCAAGGCAGGAATTCAAGGTAGGATTCTGGAGGTAGAACTGAAGCAGAGCCTGTGAAGGGGTGCTGCTTGCTGGCTTGCTTCTCCGGGCTTGTCCAGTTATCTTTCTGGTTCACCCCCTGGACCACCTGCCCAGGGAAAATCCACCACAGTGAGCTGGATTTCACATCAATTCTATCAAGAAAATTCCTCATACTCTTGCCTATGCCGAGTCTGATGGGGACATTTTCTCAACTAAAGTTCTCTCATCTCAGATAACTCTCGCTTGTATTAAGATGACAGAAAGCTAAGCAGCACAGCTGACGCCTTTCCAGGGCAACACACAAACATACCACTAGTCAACGATCATCTTTCCTTTCTCATTTGTCTCCAAGGTGTCATGACAATATTAATATCACAATAGAAAACAATGTAACTTTAGTAGTCCCAATCTTTAAAAATTTCAACTCTTTAAAAGTCTAAGTTCTCTTAGAAAAACAAAACAAAACAAAAAAACACCTTTTTAAAAGTCCAAGTCTCTGACATGTGGGCTGCTATAAAATAAATAAATAAATAAATACATCCATCCATCCATCCATACACAAAGATGTACTTTCTTACTCCAGAAGAGAAGAATCAGGGCATAGCCACAATCAATTCAGAGTAAAACAAGCATTCAACAGAACAAAAAGTTCAGTGCTTGATGCCTGGCATCCACTTACAGTCTTCTGGGCTCCGAAGGGCCTGGGCAGTTCCACGTCTCCGTCTCTGCCATTCAGTTTCTGACACACAGTTTTTCTCACAGGCTGGAGCTGGCTCTCCCCTGCAGCTGCTGATATCCTTGGTGGGACATCCCACGGTGCTGGTCCCCAATATTTGGTTGTCCACTACAATTTGCACCTTCACCAGTGGTGGCTTCTGGCCACAGTGCCAACAAGCCTCAACTGCCCTCCATGACCCCATTCATGCCTTTAAAAACCACCTTCATGATTTGTACACATTGACAAGTTAGGCAGCCACCCTGGACTATAGCTTCTGTGTGCCAACCCTGAGGAAATACCCAGGTTTTTCTGTGATGATGTTGGTCCCTTTATCAAAACTGATTTTTCAGCCTCAGCCAACCAGCATCAATTAAAGCAAAGGTTTCACTGCAGTAGTTCTGGTCTCTGTTCATCACAGCAGGTTCTTCAGCCTCAGCTCACCAGAACCACAGGTTCTTAGTTCAAAATATCACATGGCCCCTCTGAGCTCTGTGGGCCAGGCCTCCATCATGTGGCTTTCTTTAAGCAGACCCAATCCCCACACAGAACAGCCCATTACACTTTAAGTGCTTAATGGCTTTTCCAGCCCAAAGGTCCACAATCCTTGCCAAACAAAAACATGATCTGGACTTACAAAACAAAAACAAAACAAAACAACCCATTTCTGGTCTTACTTTCCATCATAGTTAGGTTTCTGTTGCTGTGATAAAACACTGACCAAAAACAAACAGGGAGGAAAGGGTTTATTTCACCTCACAGATTACATTTGGAGATAAGTCAGGGTGGGAACTCAAGGCAGGAACTGAAGCAGAGGCCACAGAGAAATGCTGCTGACTGGCTTGCTTCCCCTTAGCTTACTCAGTTTGGTTTCTTATACACGCCAGGACCACCTACCTGGGGATGGCACTTCCCACAGTGGGCTGGACCCCCCCCACATTAATTATTAGTCAAGAAAATGCTCCACAGGTTTGCCCACTGGTGATCAGAACGAAAGAAGGAAAGAACTGGACCCTGGTGTCTCCTCTAATGGCACTTCCCCACTTCCTCCCACTAGGTCCTGCCTCTTAAAGGTTCTACCATCTCCAAATGCTGGGAGTCGTTTCTGACCCAAACTACAGCAGCCAGTTAGGAAAATAATCACTGAAGAATTTCAGAAGGTACCAGTGTTAAGTTCATCATGCTGGTATCCATCTACACACTGCATGTTTCAGAGGTTCATAGACATTAGGGTGAGATGGTGGGATCTGAGCTACAAAAAAGGCCACAAAAGTCTGCAAAAATGCAGCTTAAGAAAGCAGACAAAAACACTGTAGGGGCTGGAGAGATGACTCAGTGGTTAAGGGCACTTGCTGCTCTTCCAGGACCCAGGTTCAATTCCCAGCACTCACATGGCGGCTCACACCCACCAGTTAATTCTAGTTCCAGGGGGTCTGACACCCACTCTGGCCTCCTAAGGGACAAGGCATGCCATGTGGTACCCATACATATAGGCAAAACACCCATAAGCACAACATAAAAGAAACCAAACACTGTACTTCTGACTACAGACAAGTGAAGGTTTTATATCAAACATTAGCAAAAGAAGGCTACATTTTAATGACACACACATGGAATTCCATGAAGAAATTCTATTCTGTATGTTAACTTAAATAGTGAATTTTAAAAGTATTTTTTAAAATACATATTTTTATAAGTGTTCTTTATTGGGCCGGTGAGATGGCTCAGTGGGTGAAGGCAGCTGCCTCCAAGCCTGATGACCCAAGTACTATCCTCAGGACCTACACAGGAAGGGAATAAGTGGGTGCTGAAGGTCCTCTGTGCTCCACAAGTGCACCCTGGCACATATGCCCACACACATACACACAACATACAAACCTCAATGCTTCAACACATTATCTATTCTCTTTTATCACTGTGGAGGTATGTGCATGGTGGGGGCGGAAGTTGATCGGAGAACAGTTTTGTGGAATGGGTTCTCTCCTCCCTCCATTAGGTGGATTCCAGAAATTGAACTCAGGCAGCCATGCCTGCCCTGCTGGCACCGTTACCTGCTGAGCTGTCTCACAGTTCATGTTCGGGTTTTTAAACAGATCACGAAACTGAGCATCTAACTTGGAAAACTGTCTGGGGAGGTGAGATGTCCGGCACTCACTGACAAGAAAGCTGGCACACTCGTTTATTTAAATGACGTGGACCACAGTTTTTCCTCGGGCGTGGCCTCGCTCCACCTTCAGGAAGGCTTCTGGGACTTCAGAAAAAGGGAAGGTCTGATCAATAACTGGCCGAATCTACAAAACACAAGAGGAGACCAGGGGGTTGATAAGAAAACCCACTTTCCCAGGCAGACAGTGTCCTAGATATCCCCCAGGGCCTGTCTTGGGGCTCTCTACCACTTGCTTAGGTCAGAAGCTCCAGTTCCTCTGTTTCCCCTCATCCCGTCAGCTCTCCCAATTTTACCCTCAATTTCACCTTTACTCATCTTACTCCCATTCTGTAATGTTGTCACTCCTACTCAGAACCCTACAAGAGCTCCCAAACCTGACATTCCAAGACACACCACATCCTAGCCTCGGGCCTCACGCTGCTTGGCCTTTTCACTTTTTGAAAATAATATTTTATATTTATATTTATATAATATATATTTATTTATTAAATTTATTTATAAAATATATTTATTTATTAGTGTGTGTGATTGTGTGTGGTGGGATGTGTAGTGTGATATGTGGTGTGGGTGTGGGCTGTGATAGGTGTGGTGATGAGTACGTGGTATAATGTGTGGGTATGTGATGTGAGTGTGTGGCGCGATGTACGTGGTTGTGTGTGTCTGGTGTGGATATATGGCGTGGTGTGTGTGTGTGTGGTTGTG